AGACCCCACCTGGAGTGCTGCGTCCAGCTCTGGGGTCCTCAGCACAGGAAGGACATGGACCTGTTGGAGCGGGTCCAGAGGAGGGCCACAAAAATGATCAGAGGGATGGAACACCTTTGCTATGAGGAAAGGCTGAAAGAGCTCGGGTTGTTCAGCCTGGAGGAGAGAAGGCTGCGGGGAGACCTTATTGCGGCCTTTCAATACTTAAAGGGGGCCTACAAGAAAGATGGGGATAGTGTTTTTAGCAAGGCCTACTGTGACAGGACAAGGGGTAATGGTTTTAAACTAAAGGAGGGTAGATTTAGACTAAACACAAGGAAAAAATTTTTCATGATGAAGGTGGGGAAACACAGGAACGGGTTGCCCAGAGAGGTGGGAGATGCCCCATCCTTGGAAACATTCAAGGACAGGTTGGATGGGGCTCTGCGCAACCTGATGTAGTTGAAGATGTCCCTGCCAATTGCAGGGGGATTGGACTAGATGACCTTTAAAGGTCCCTTGCATCCCAAAGCATTCTATGATTCTGTGATTCATAAAATTCACAAACACTGAAGCCCCAGTTACCAACCCCAAGGTTACGCTGCACATCCCAAGCAGCAACAGAGCCCTTCCTTTAACCCTGGCTAAACTTCTGCTCGTCTGCATTTGCTGCCAAAGCACCCTCTCATGTTCCCCTCCCTTCTTCTCCTTTCCTGGTTGCTGCTCTCCAGCTGGAGTAATGGCCACACTGAAAGCATCCTCTCTGAAAGCCACTCCGTGCTCGTCAGCTCCTCCATGGAGAACAGCAGGCACACCAGCCCAGCGGGGCCCCGGGGCCGCCTCAATGGCATTGGTGGGCCACGGGAAGGCAACAGCTTCCTCCGGCATGCAAGAGAGACCCCTGACTCCTACCGAGACTCTCCTCACAGTGAAAGGTAGGGCACACCACCTCATTGCTTTCAGCTGGCAAGGCCTGGTGTTCCCAGATGGTTTCAAAGCTTGGGAGCACAGGAGGAAATGCAACAGTGCAGCTGTTCATGTGAGGCATACATCTCCCCATTCATAAAAGTGGAGGGCTTGGTAGTAGTTTAAAGTCTACCAAAAGCATTTCTTACCTTCTTGCCTCTGCTGGATTTATTCCTAATAGCCAGCAGTTCACATTTGGATAAGCTCCACTGAAGTACTTTGTCAGAAATTTCCATGGTAAAGTAAAATGGATCTTTGCCTAATTATCAGTTTCTTTGAAGAAGCTAGTGAGAAAACTGAGGGATTTTGTGAGACGCAAAAGGTTTGGAGAAAGCGATGTATTGATCCATAGGAGGAGGGCACTAAGGACTCCTAAGCAGTATAGGAATTCTGCCACTACCTACTTTCTGGGGGATTCCAGCTCCTAAACCTGTTATCTCCTTTGAAAATTCCCCTTGACATTTTATTAAATAAAAGCAAGGAACACAAAGTGCAAGCCAGAAGAACCCAGGTCATTATTAAATCACGAGTAGTTAGAAATAAAGCTGGCCAGGATATTTCCAACAAAGTAATTTTTTTCTCTGAAAAGGCTGGTTCATCAATATCTACAGTCTGCCTTGAAGTGCATCAGTTGCAAGAAAATTTTTACTGAAAAGTCTTCTCAGCTTTAGGCTAGGATTTTATCTCAAGAGCATGGGATGGCCCCAGCGTAGCAAAAGAAAGACTGAGAAGAAACAAGACCTTTAAAGAGAGCTTTGCTCCCAACAATCAGAGGCAGAAGAAAAGGAAAACAAAGGGTTACTGGACCAATTCTCTGAGCATTGTGAAATCACAAGGGATTTGATCTCATGGGCTGTCCATGATGTCAAAAATGCAGCCAGGCAATCCCCAAGGAGACCGAGTTGTGTAGGAGACAAGTTGTGGTTTCCAGAAAAATGAATGTGCAAGTACAGCAAAAGCTGTTTCTGTGGTACTCCCTCTACTACACAAAGAGCAACTGCTTAGCAGCAGCATAAGGCATCACGGCTGAGGGCTCTCTGAATAAGGCCTGTAGGACCACTAAGGATAGTGAACTGGCTTGCTCCTTATAACAAAGTTTTCTGTAATTTACCATGGAATTTAATTTCAGGATATGTGGCTCACATAACATAAACAGCCATGGCCCCAGTCCAGCAGAGCACTTCAACAAGATTAACTTTTAATCATGCAAGTAGCCCCATTGAAATCAGCAGGATTACTCATGCGGGTAGAGCTCAGTGTGTCCTTAAGTGCTTTGCTGGATCAGGACCTATAGCAGTAAATACCGCATTGTCTCCTGCCTGGGAACCATACAGGACACACAGCCACAGGCCTGCCAACGGCGAGTACTACAACTTAGTATATTTGGGCATCTGCATGTGAGAAGCAAAGATCATTTGTGCTGTCTTCCCGCATTGCCTGGGACACCCGGAACATGATCTGATGTGAGCTGTTTAAGTTTTAGCGGGGGGAAAGGAGCATGTGCCTTTCTGTTTCGATGAGAAGAAAGAATACATTTCGTCAATTATTGTGTTTCTTGAAGATGAAAAAGGTGAAAAGCAGCAGTATTTCTGTGATCATTCATTAGGCATTGATGGCCTAGCCTGTGCCTGAAACGACCGTGAATTTGGAATGCAGAAGATAGTTCCCTGGGCATTAAATTAGGCCTCATCTGTTTTTAGCAAGCAGGAAATACATGGCAGATTATTTCTGTGATGGATTATGTGTATGTGTGTGTATATAAGGGGGAAAATGAGAGTTATTTGCGACTAAAAATTACTCTGAAACTTAAAGGAATGTATGAGCTGACAAATTACTTCCTGAAGCCATCAAATGTTGCTGTGCTGTGAATTGGTAGATCAAGGCTGTGCTCCCTCCACCCTCCAGTTCCTCAGCTCATTCACAATTTTGAAATGAAATAGAACAGACATTACGTGGAGTTCTTTTGCATTACCCCATCCCTTTGTTGGACCCTATGCCCTGACACCCATTTACAAGAGCAGAGGACCCAAGCACCTATATTTTAGAAAGTCCTTAGACATCTTACAGGAGAGAAGATCAAAAAACACCACCTCTGCACGAAAGGCTGGACTATATGATGAAGTAGGCAGCATGTAACTAGTTAATGCTTGTTGGCTGGCTGTGGATACACTCTGATCCCCTTTCACTGAGCCAGCATGGTTTACCTCTTGTTGGCTGTGAAGCTGGATAAATCTATTGCCCTTTAACCTTATTTCTGGGATGGGCTAGAGCTGCATATGTTCGGCTCCTGTGCCTCAGCTCGTGGACGGCAGCTTGTTAGCACTGCCCCATTATGGTGTGGGGGAATACACTAGAAATGTGTGAATGCACAACACCCCAGTATGAGTAACTTGACACTGATGGAAGTGTGCACAGTACGCTGAATACATTTAACTAACTTAATGCGTTAACTGAACCAGTTTAGCTAAAATCCAGTGTGTCAAGATGTATGTCCAACAGTGTACCAGCTGGGGAAGTAGAAAGGCTTCAGTTTTTCAGACAATGCCTATGTAAAAATGTGAAGGGGATGAAAAGCTCACTCATGGAAGGAAAAATAAAGAATGGCTTCATTCATCCAGTGCACAGGCCTATTAATTGCCCTCTGCTCTCACTAGCAGCCAACTTGATTAATTCTCATGCATAACTCCAGTTTTGTTTTTCTTTCTCCTGTTCTTCAGTTGATGTAAATCAATGTGCCTCTACTGAAACCAATTTACTCTAATACACATCAGTTCAGGATCTGTCCCAGTTTCTCTTTTATCCAATAACTCTGTTTTAATCAAGTCTAATATGTGCAACTGAGTCATAGATTGGATAAGAAAGTTGGATTCAAATTTATTTTAGTAATTTCAGACTCAGATAAATAAATCACTAATGAAAACCTAAATAACTTCATCAGTCATAGCCATATAACTTGACTCAATGGGCCTGCATAAGAGATGGAACTCAGAAAGATTTTAAATTTGGACACAGATGAAGTTCAGGCAGGTGAACTTAGGATAAGAACAAAAGCAAAGCCAAACTATGCAAAATGTCATGCTGGGCACTGTGCCTTTGATCAAGAGGTTTCAGGCAGATTCTCACCTGGCATGAATCTGCATGACCTCATAGCATCTCATGGAGCTCCTCTGATTCAAACCAGCTGAGAGTCTCACATTTTCTGTCTTATTCCTTTGGGACAGGCTCTGTACTGGCACCTGAGCTTCATTTTCAGAAATCACTTTTGACCAACTACCCTTCCCACAGAACCTTATGAAGGAATAGGGGCAAATTTTGCAGAGCAATCATGAACACTAGGCCAGAACACTAGGTCCTCTCTGTGAGCATTTCTTCCCACATGAGGACAAAAAACGCTCCATGTTTCTTTGCAGATAGACTTACCAGCAAGGGTAACTAGCACCTGAGGAATGAAGCAGCACAAAGCTGCTGGGACGGTGCTGCAAATCCTCCTCTGACTACCCCCAGTGACTAAAATTAGCAGAATGTGGCTCTAGACTTTGTCCAAACTTTGCTTTCCTCCTTAGTCTGAGACAGTCTGGTTTCCAGAAGAGGGTGAAGCCCCAAGAAGACTGTCCCTCGGTTACCTTCCTTTCTCTCCTCCTATCTGTTTGCATGCACTCCAGGTTCTGGTCAAATCCTGCCAGAAGTGGAGCAGCCGTCTTCCTTTTGAGAAAATACTTGCGAATACATTTTGTTTCTGGCAGTCCCCCAGTCACTGAATCCCATTGCTGGATGCATTCCAGGAAGTTATTCTGGCAAATAATTTACAGCATCTCCATGGCTCTTCTGAGGCAAACAGACCTGAGGGCTTTGCCATGCTCCTCCTGCTCTCAAATGTTTTTGCCCAGAGTCCCAGAAGTCAGTGGTTTTATAGGATTAATAGCAACAGGAAAGTTTCCGTGGTAGCCCTGTGTGAGGATGCTGGGGATCTTAAGGGATCCCTGCCTTTTCCCTCCCAGCCCACGTGAGCAGCTGTGTTCACGTCACTACCACTCCTGTGCTCGCAACCTTTCCCCATCTCTTTTCTTCAGGTATGTCTCAGCTATGACCACACCAGCTCGCATGTCACCTGTCGATTTCCACACTCCGACTTCTCCCAAGTCCCCCCCCTCCAAAATGTCACCCCCGGCTTCCAGCTTGACTGTCTCCGTCCCTTCAGTGGCGGTGAGTCCCTTCATAGAAGAGGAGCGACCACTGCTTCTGGTGACCCCGCCACGGCTACGTGAGAAGTACGACCACCACCTTCAGCAGTTCAACTCTTTCCACCACAATCCTGCCCACGAGAGCAACAGCCTGCCGCCAAGTCCTCTGCGGATAGTGGAGGATGAGGAGTACGAGACCACGCAGGAGTATGAACCAGCACAAGAGCCTCCAAAGAAACTCACCAACAGCCGGAGGGTCAAAAGAACAAAGCCCAATGGCCACATTTCCAGCAGGGTGGAAGTGGACTCCGACACGAGCTCTGAGAGCAGCAGCTCTGAGACCGAAACCGAAGACGAAAGAATAGGTGAGGATACACCGTTCCTGAGCATACCAAACCCCGTGGCAACCAGTCTGGAGCCAGCCGCTGTTGTCCAGTGTGATAGCTAACCAAGACCCTATTGCTGTATAAAACATAAAACACATAGATTCACATGTAAAACTTTATTTTATATAATGAAGTATTCCACCTTTAAATTAAACAATTTATTTTATTTTAGCAATTCCGCTGATAGAAAACAGGAGAGGAAAAAAAAAACTTTTATAAATTAAATATACGTATGTACAAATGTGTTATGTGCCATATGTAGCAATTTTTTACAGTATTTCAAAAATGGGGAAAGATATCAATGGTGCCTTTATGTTATGTTACGTTGAGAGCAAGTTTTGTACAGTTACAATGATTGCTGTCCCATAGTATTTTGCAAAACCTACTAGCCCTCAGTTGTTCTGGCTTTTTTGTGCACTGCATTATAATGACTGGATGTATGATTTGCAAGAATTGCAAAAGTCCCTCTGGTCGCTTGCTGTAGAATCCCCAGATCAAAAAGCCCTGTAATGGCACTCCCACGCTACCCACCCCACCAGAAACACAAACACACACACACACAGAAAAAAAAGAGAAAAAAAAAAAAAAGCTGAAAAAAGCAACAAAAAAATTTTCTTCTATAAGAAGTTTTATTTGCTTTCTGTATATGAAATGAGTTTTGTCTGCTCTCTGCCAGCCAAAAGGTTTGCTTCTTTGAGCACTGGGATAATAGTAGATCTAACAGCATGCTACTATTAATTACAACAGGATAACAAAAAAAATGAAACAAACAAAAAAAAACAAACAAAAAAAGCCAACCTGCATTAAGTAATGTTACTTATAGAAAGAAAGTAATACTGTGATTTTAAACCAAATATATTATTAATCAGAGGTCAGCTTGTAATCACTAGGAGCTGCCATTTCATTCTTTTCCAGATATTAATTGTTCTAGTTATCCTTAGAAAATGGGTTTAGATTAGCTGAGGCTTTGAACCCAACACTCTATTAAAAAAAAGAAAAAAAAAAAGAAAAAAAAAAGAAAAAAAAAGATTTATATTAGTTTAAGTTAATGGGGCAAATATAATAGCAGATATCTGTAACCAAGCAAGGAAGAGATCTAGCTGGAAAACAAATGCCACTAATAAAAGTGCAATCAGTTTTCACCTCTATTTTTTAATGTTGATTTCTAATAGATGATTTATCCCTCAACGTTCTCCCCTTTCTTCTCCTCAGAAAGAACCCTGACAAGCTTCCAGCAATACCTTGTTAGAGTTGCTGTTGGAGTAAGGGTTGCTCTTGGACACTGAAATGACTTTCAGGGAAGAACTGATTTGCTGAATGGTTAAGAAGTATAAGCAAGTAGGAAGGACATAGCAGAAGTATGGAGTTCATTTCTACTCGCCTTTATCCACTCCATTATTTGGGGTGAGAGAGGCAAGGCGGATGCAAAGCCCATTTATGAAGGCAAGCACACCATGTGGGTTACAGCCATAGTGTGCGTGGCTATTTGATATCAGTGTTTATATAGCCAGGGATGGCCTTGAAGTCTTTGACTACTAATGAACAAGGATGCTGTCAGTGCTAGAGCAGTTGCATCCATTCAGACAGAAGCAAATGGCCTCTTTTGCACTGAATTCCTATCAGTTTAGTCAGGGTCACTCTGCCTCTTCTCTTCTTTTGATTTTTGTTGTGTGTTCAGTTGGCACAGCATAGACTCAGGATTGATGTGGAAAACAAATGTTTTTCCTAGACTCCGGGGATTTTGAAAATGAGAACATATGTTCTACAGGTATTACTGGACTCTAAATAAGAGCCATGTCAAGAGAAAAAGAATTTCAGCCAAACTACAATTCATCCTTTGGGCCACATCCTGGTCCCATTAAATGAAGAGAAATAAGTCAATGAAATTTTGTGAGATGTGAACCCGAGGAACTAAAGTCCCGACTCAGTAAATTGTTCAAGCATATGCTTATGCTAATCCCAGCAAAAGTTATCTTCAGCATGTGCTAGACTCCCATTGACGCATCCAGCACATGCATAAAGTTAAGCATGCGCTTAAGAGTTTTGCTGAATAAGGTATCCTATGGATTTGAGACCTGAAAGCAAAGTCTAGTAAATGAAGCTGATTGATTGATCATCAGGAAAATCAGTGAGTTGCTCACTGTATAAATAACCACATCACATTAGTAAGAACGTGGATGAGTCTACCTGACCACCAGATTCAGCAGAAAAAGAACAAAAACCCTTAGTATAGGAAGAAGATGATGACAAAGTTGTACACTAGGATGTTGGTGGTAGAAGCAAAAGGCTAGGAAACTAGCACAGCTTTGGGCTATGTGGTGGCTGAAATAGCACTGCTTATTTGAGAAGTCTATGGGAGATGGCAAAGTTTGGCAAATACATACTATCTGGACTTACGTCCCCTTTGCCATTTTTTTCCCTAGCTGGCATGTACTTGAACACACTTTGCCTTTGCAGACCAAAACAAAAGCTCTCTACAAATTCTAGATACCATACACTCATTTTCATCCCTTTAGTCATGCCTATTTATCTGCAGTCCCATGCAGCAGAACATCCACCTCCCCACTAACTCTGCAACTCAGTAGTACAGAGGGCCAGGTGGGCTTTCCTGATGCAGACCACCAGTTTCCAAAGGATGTGCACTGTTGAGTTTCCAGAGGCACTTGAAAATCTGTCCTTTCAGTAAGGTCTCTGATACTGCAAAGATCTTACAGGACAGACAAGACAGGAAAAGGATGACAGAGGAACAAGAGATTTGCCCCAAAATCACCCATCTTAGTGGCAGAATAGAGATTATAACACAGGTCTTCTGTAATCTCCTCCAGTATAGATCACACACAAGGCCAGCTCTCATTGAAGTGTCTGTGATAGCCTAGACAGATTAATCAGGATGGAAAGGGAACTTGCCTTGAAGTAGAGTAAATTATTTGACTTCTAACATTGTTATTATAGAGGGCCAGTATAAAACAAAGGAGCAATTGCATGCTTGGGAGCTATACATGTGAGATTTATTCAGTGTGGGTTTAGGGGAAAATGTCACACCTCTTCTGTTGCAGTGCCTCAAAGTCAGAGTGGTGTGTAGTTCCTGCTCCTCCTCCCCCTGGTACACATAGTGGTGTGTTATAGGGTAAGCATGAAATTAGGATGGGGGCTTCACATGGACCTAAGAACAAGAAAATACAATTGGGGATATGGCTGTCTAAGCCCTTAGGTCTTTGGGGAGAACCCAGCCTTACAGCACAATTCATGCAACAGTGAGTTATGGGAGTTGCCCTGGCTTGGCACTCACAGAAGTGGGAGTAGGACGCGGCCCCTCACCTCTGGACTTGCTTTTAGCACACTGTGAGGGTCCTCCGCGTCAGTCAAGTCCACACCCTGAAGTTAGCAAGTCTATAGGGCCACAGGTTCTGCTGGCAGGCTGCAGCCAGCTCCTGCTGGCCAAGGGGCTGGAGACTGCAGCAGCACGGAGCAGAGCCAGCAAGTGCCTACGGGAAAGGCTAGCTCCCCTGTTGGGGATATTCGCTTCATTACCCGGACCTCTGAGCTAGGCAGTCCCAACACCCTTGGGCCATCACTGTGTAACCCTTGCCAACTTTTGGCTGAAAGTCATGGCAAGGAGAAACATACTTTGAAGAGGGGGGAAATATTCCAGTAGTGGCAGAGTTGTTCAGATTGTCCTGGTTTCTGTCCATGTCATGTAACTTGAGCTGTGAGTTTTCCCTGTGTATGTGTTTATATGCAGGAATTATTCCAGGATAAAAGGCTTCCTTCAGGGATGTATAGCTGGAATATGTTGTGCACAACCTGGTACAGCCTGCCTGTTCAGCTGGTGTAAATCATCACAGCTCCACAGAGGTTCTCATGTAACAGACAAAAACATACTCCCTACTCTTGGCCCAGCTATTCCATTCCTCACTTGAGCCACCCCAACACCCCCAGGTTTAAGAGATCAATCACTGCCTTTATCAGGGAAACAGGAAAGCTCCTTCTCTTTCTAGTCCTCCAAAACAACAACACTGCATCTCCCTGCTTCTCTCACACACATTGCAAGCAGTTTCCTGAGCATCCAGGATAGCAAACTTGTGTCCCCTCAAAGGACACACTTCTCAGCCTGTTGAACACTTCTTGGCCCTGCAGTGTGGCTACTTACGATCAGCTGGGACTTACTTCTAGTAAGAAACAAAAAAGCACCTATGAAATGCTGCAGAGAAGGGCAGACAAAGAACATGGCCAATTATCATCATTTGTAATTCTCTATTCTATTGTAAATACATCTTGTACATACTTGGATGTTTTCATCATTTACTGTCTTTATGGATTATGTGTTAAATGAGACTCTCTTCGTTTATTGTGTAACACTGTAAATAACATAACGTCCTTTATTATTTATGCATAGGCATCTAACACGCGGAGAAAGTTATCCTCATATTATTTTAAGATATATGTCAAAAATATGTTGCATTTTTCTTTTTGCTTTGAAAAAATTGTAATATATCCTCTTTTTCCCCTCTTTTCCTTTAAAAGAAAAATGAATGCTAATTTATTGTTCAGGAGAGAAAGGGGATGTAACTGAAAGGCAAACTGTTCAAAGAACATGCTATGGAAGCCACAAGCTACTGATAAACTAAAGAATTTATTATCCCAAATACAGCAATAAGTAATTGTTGATTTATTAAGGTTTTGTTATTCATTTTCAGTAAAAGAGGTGCTGGATTAAATTGTTTATGTGTTCTACTGGCCCAGCTGCTCAGCAGACTGTGTCAGGTCACTAGCCACCATCTTTCTGGATCCAAACGTTGTTGTAAAGGTCTTTTTCTGTCTTTGTGGGCCACTGTTCCCTGAGTTTTCTGGCTCGTCCCTATGGAGGTCTCTGGCAGACACCCTTGTTCCTAGGTACAACATTTGCTCTATAAAAATGTCACCTCACTGCTCAGTAACAGTCAATAAAGCAAATCAGATACTAGGAATTATTAGATGACATCACCATGCCACTGTATAAATTCATGATTTGTGCAGACCTTAAATACAATGAGCAGTCCTGGTCTTCTCGTCTCAGAACAGA